TCTGAACGGCAATACATACTGTATTTTATTTTCCAAAACACAATACTTTGCTGAAGAAACAGTACATCAGGATAACAGTGCGCTTTGCAAAGAGATACATCAAAGAGCAGAAGGGATCTTTTTCATGAAAAGACGCGTATCATATTTGAAAAAGAGAAGAGGGAGAAAGCAGCGCAATAAAAAGGTATGCTTAATGGCCCATTAGAAAAGCCATAAAAAAGATTAAAGTTAAAGTGCCATTATGCAAAATTGTACTGCTCTCTGACTTTCTGTTCTCCATCACACGTGTATCTATGCGCATCGCGCGCATCAGCGACGTGCACATGTAAATGTTACGTAGGAAACTTTGCGTTTGCGTATCGTTGGTAATATGTGGCGAAAAGTACCTGAAGGTAATTTAAATTAGGAAGATATTTTGCTGACTATAACACAGCTGCCGTGTCGTTTGTTTTTCGTAAATTATGTCCCTAAATTATTCCAGAGATCGTACTTCTCGGTGCTTCGAAAACCGTGAATATCGTGGTAGCAAATATATACACAGGGTGGCTAAATAAGATGCAACTAATATTTAAGTAATGCATGATTCTTTATTTCTGGTCGATAACGTAGTTTCCCGCGCGCGGTAAACGCGAGAGGATATTTAAGTTCTGAAATTATATATGAAGAATGACATTTAACACGGCAAAATACTTTTATTTTTAAATAATACTCGACGATTGTCATTTAACAATAACGTATGCTAAATTTAAAATTCTCCGCAGTGGTTATATTCATATAATACAATAAACAAATGATGCTTGAATCAATCCAAAGAAAAACAATTTTAATACTTTTGAATCAATTTGCGCATCAAAATAATTGAAATTTCGCAATCAGACTTGAAATAAAAGTAATTCACCTTCATTATTTAGGGCTAGTAGAGCTTGTATTATGCTTATCATATACAATTAATACTGAGAAAATTATTACAACTATACGTTTCAATCATTTCAATATGGTCATTATCAATAGTTTACAACAAAAATGTATAATTAATCTTAAATTGATATGATTCACTTCAATGAAACCTGATATATTATATTTGTCGGTTTTGTTGAAGATCATTTTTTTGTGACAGTAGGCTTGATGGTTATTATAAATTAAACTTTACTGTTGATATTTTGAATCAAGAATTTTGGCGTATCACCAGTAAAGTTTAATTTAAAATAACCATCAAAAATCATACGATCATCAAAGAAGATGACCTTCAAGAAGCCAAGAAAATATATCAGATTTAATTGAAAAGAATTATGTCTGTTTACGATTAATTACAAAAATTTTTGTTGTAAACTGTTAATAATAATCATATTATGATTGAAACGTATATAAGTTATAATTTAGTTTCAATAATAATTGTATGATAGCATAATACATCTTGCGTGGCTCCACTAAATCCTAAACAATTAAGATAAATTACTCTCAAAATAATATTTTTATTATTAAAAATAATTTCTTCTTAAAAAGATGAACCAGTAGATTCTAATCATGTCAATCAGAATTCCGGTCATCATGATTGGACTATCTGGTTATCTCAATCGGAGTTCTGATTGACATGAAAAATTTACATTGTTCAGAATCTATATTTTCAACCAGAAATTTTTTCTAGTATAAAATGGTTATCACAAATAGTCACGTAAATTTATGTGCATGTTTTGTTACGTTGTTTAAGTAATTTTTATATACAGATCGCATTGTATGTGATTTTAGCCACCCTATATTGCAGCTGGGCTGCAAACGAGGGCGTTGTTTACGACCGGTGTGGAAGCGTAATTGAGTGCGCTTAATAAATAAACAAGCTCGTGCTCGGATACGCATCCACGGGATGCATAGGGAGGTGAGCTGTAAAAAATGAATTCATTTTTCAGGGAATGTTGGTCGGCTCGGGAAATATACTGTCGCGACATTCCACTCGAATCGCGAAAGTACGCGTGAAAAAGCCGCAATAATCGGCATAGCGCTTAATTGATTTTTTTCTGACCGACCCAGAAAGAAATTATTATTTGCGATAGACACAGATAGAATTAGAGACAAAACGAGGTATATCATATTTTTTTTAATGTACTTTATAATCTAAAAAGGAACAATAAAAGATATGATTTAATGAAGAACTCTGGAAATACATCTCGGTTTGATTGCGAAAAATCAAAGGAGGAAACTTGGGACAATGGAGGAACTGAACTCCGCTCGCGTTTCTCTCTCAAGAAACGAATCTTGATTAATAGCGCAAGTTTGCGTCACCATGTCCCGCGTCGGCCATGTTCGGAATGCATAATGGGTGGAATACATTAAAATTCAACCTCGCGGACGAACTCAAGATCTCTCTCTCTCTCTCTCTCTCTCTCTTTCTCTCTTCCTTTCTCTTCGTAACAGCGTCATTCTAAATGTGGGAAATAACATCGTTCTTCTTGCAATTAGTGCGGCGTCTTTGATCGATGACGGCAATTAGGTCGGTCCGCGTCGAATGCACGCGAGAAGTGCATCGGCTGCACACACCGATCATTAGGGAAACCCAAGAAAAATCTTCATATGGCAAACCGTAAACAGTACGCGAATACAACATCAGTCACGATCTTTCGTTAATGATTCTCTGACTAAAGCTGTTTGCTACCAGATCTTTCTTCAGCCACCGATATCTTCATCCCTATACTATCGCGTTAATCGAAAAAGATAAAGATAAGGATTCTTAAATTGTTCTCCCTTCATACCTTTCCAATAGAAAAGAAATACGATAGAATTCATCTTGTATTGAATGTGTAATTACGCGAATGTTGTGTTTCTATTTGAATCTTTCCTTACGCAATAATAATATAATCGGATAATATAAATATTTTACACTAACATAGGTAACAAAATATTAGTGTACGAAATATAAATATTAATCAACCACAAAAGAAATATTCATCTTGTTTGAAGTTAATTATTCATACCTTCAATATCCTTATAATAACATAAAAATTATGATTCTGACAGCTTTATATTCTCAGTACCTAGAAACCGCTTTTTTCTATTCTTTTAAAACACGATAAAACCTTTTCTGTACATTTGGTCGATTTAGTTTACTACAAGGAAACAAATTTTTTACAAACGTAAAAAGCGGTCTCGCGTGTAGTTAACCTTCACTCTTTACATTTTTTTCCGTGTTTCGTCGAGAGTGAGTATATTATGTAAAACACAGACTTCTCGCCACACACAGCGCAGGAAAAGTGTCTAAAAATAATTACTGTCTAAAAATATTATAATACCATAGCAAATGGCGATGGAAATAAAAGTTGATACTAATTCTAAATAATATAGTTCTATTTACGAATTTTTGCTTTCGCTTTGATGGCGAGACAAATTCGTATGACACCATGTATTAGCGCGTTTAATACCGTCTGCAATTTCTAGTTGAAACACGAGCCACGCAGCAATTTCAGCACAAATTGCCGCGTTTTAATGGCTCCCAGTTGATCCTTTAAACACTTTCGTGCTATATAGCATTAAGTAGCTTAATAATTAACTCTTGTATAGAACTTGCTTCACAGTAAAATTCATCGCGAATTAATTGAAAAATAATATCCTTGTGTACTTGCATCATTTGCCTGTGTCGCTCAAATATTTAATATATCCGTTATGAAACTAGTCGCTCATTAACGTATTAAATCCTCATTATACAAAGTATCAACGCAAGTTAATATCTAATAGAAATAACCTTTTCTTCTATTAACATTTGGCACGCACTTTGCAGTATTCTTAATGATCTGATGAATATTTTTCATAATAAATCAATAGATTTAAGACTCTCATTAATACATCAGATTATTAATATTCTTGTAAAGGTACTTATTAGCACCAAAAGTTATTAAGTTACTTTTCAGTTTAATATTACTATTCTAATTCTGTGCTCACAATTGCATTTTAAGACTGAAAAAGATTTCGGCACGCGGTTTGCAGAATCTGATTATTACATATAAATTCACACAGAAATATTTGAGCACTAAGATTCGCTTTGACCAAATATAGGATTTCTCATCTTATTTAATCAGTCTTATTCATCTTGTTTTTCTAGGAACAGTAAGTATTCATTAACTAAGAGAATAATAAAAAAGATTTGGATCTCTGTATGATGGCTTGTATGTTAATTTAATGTTGAGAAACCTCAAGGCGATGAGTAAACTGAAAACCGGATCGACAAGACGACTGTCACGACCGCACATTAATGATTTTCGTCTATTTAACATAAGAATATACTTTGTGTGATATCGCGAATATTATCTCGACCTCGCCTTGACCTGATTTCTGCATCTCGAGGCGATCTCGTGTCGACCGACACTGCTAACTAGTTCGTTTACTCTAGTACTCAAATTGACTTTTCGCGCTTTGTTTGAAAGTACATCGCTCAAATTTAGCCCCACGACCGAAGATATTTATTCGCGCATTAACGGGCCGCGTACCCAATGGGAGAAATTGCGCAAATTGCGATATCGGCGCGTTTTGCACCCCTCGAATAATCAGCAATGTATATTTGCGATAATCATAATATAATAATGTAAATTAAATCTCTCCATGTAATATATTACGTGGCAATAGAGTTTCAAAATGGGATAATCTCCGTGCGTTCAATTTTCGATATCACGGACGAAGGGAAAATGTATCGCAAGTCAGTTTCCCGATCTTCATCGCTGCAAATGGATGTATGGTGGCTATATTTTTGTGCAGTGACACCGAAAAATCCCGATTCGCCGAAACTATATCAATCCCTTTTGAACTTCATCTCCTTTCTCATTATTTTTTTCTGAATTTATTCCTTATATACGTGTCCGTTATCCTCTCGATCGAAATCGTTAGGGGAACGTGAGATGGTCTTATCGTGGCGGCCTCCGCGATAATTCGCCACGAATCGCCGTAGAGCCGAGCACTCTCTGCTCTTGATAATATCCTTCGGCACACACACACGTGTGAATTTCATAGTGGCGACTTACCTTGTAACTGCCGACCGCGTGCGCACCATCGTAGATGTAGAGATGGTCGTTGCAGTCTAACTGCAGCTGATCGAATCGGAGCATAAACCGCTGGAGGATGCTGTGAGTCTGGAAAGTAATGGCGCAATCGAGATCCCTCTCATTTTGTGAGGTAAGAACGGCGCCGTCTATCTTCCTGTAGAGATCCCGCAGGAAGTATTTCTTGCAAACGTCGCTCATCTGGTCTGTAAGGAAAACGAAAACAGACGGACGAGAGTCAATCGATCCAACTTTTTCACAATTGGAAAAAAAATCTGATATAAATATATTTTTACGATCAACGTTTTTCACGCCATTAATCAAATCGTGCAAACACGAGATTTAGTGTACCTATTATAAAAAGTTCAATACATATTTATAATATAATATACAGGACCTTTTAGAGCTTGCACGGAAAGAATGGCTGTAATATTTAAAAATGTAACTAGATACAGATCTCAGAATAATTTTGTTGAACTTTTCAAAAGAGGATTATGTTAAACATAATGAGCGTATTGCAAAAAATGTCAATATTCCAGCAATCATTTAAGGCAATCTACATAATTATATTAATGGTCCAACAAAATTATTTTTAGATCTATATATGTAACTAAATTTTAGATCCTCCAGTAAAAATTATTTTTCCATGTACGTATATACATTGTTAAATTCATGATGTCAAATTATATATACTACATGGGTTGAAAAGTGCCGGGATTTTTCAACATCTGGCGCCATTAGAAAATGAACATGACTCATTTCGAGAGGCTCATCTATCACTAGTTTATCTATGAAGTTTCATGACATTTCGTCCATTCGTTTACAAGCTACAGTTGTTTGAGTGACGCTACTTTCGCCTTCGTAAAAAAAAAATAGAAAAACAGGAATATCGCATCTTGATCAAACATTGTTTTTTGATGGGAAAAACTCCTGAACGATCATTGCAATGGTTGCAGAAATGTTATCCCACATCTGCTCCTTCGAGAACAACAGTCTATCGGTGGTTTAGTGAATTTAAAATGGGTCGTACAAGCACCGAAGACGCACCTCGCTCTGGAAGGCCAAAAGAGGCTACGAATGCGGAAATCGTAAAGCAAGTGCATCGAATCGTTTTGAATGATCGTAAAGTGAAGTTGCGCGAGTTAGCTGAGGCCGTGGGCATCTCAAAAGAACGGGCGGGATACATTTTGCACGATGTTTTGGAGATGAAAAAGCTATCGGCGCGATGGGTGCCGCGCTTGCTGACCGTCGACCAGAAACAGCAGCGTGTTGATGATTCAACGGCCGGTTTGACGTTGTTGCAGCGTAATCGAGCTGACTTTTTTCGACGTTTTGTGACGATGGATGAAACGTGGGTCCATTATCACACATACGCCTGAAAGAGATTCAGATCAAATGAGGAAGTCATCGCGGAAACCGAGGCGTATTTTGAAGGCTTGGACGTTTCGTACTACAGAAAGGGCATCGAAATGTTGGAAAATCGCTATACCAAGTGTATCGCCCTCGAAGGCAACTATGTTGAGGAATGAATATAACTTTGCCCAAAAAACGCTCGTTTTCATTAAAAATCCCGGGACTTTTCAGCCCATGTAGTATATTCAATTTGAGTCCGTTCGATACATATCTAACAGTATACATAATTTCCGAGATATCGCGTATTATAACTTTTGTAGAAATAGAAATAGTCTTGCCTTTTATATTATGATATATTTCTATTTCTATTGTAAGTTTGACTTGTACTCGAAAATAACAAGGTATGTGGGAAAATATCGTCATTAAATTAGCACAATTCGATGTTTCCAAAAGTTAAGAAAACAATATGAAAGTCAACGTTTTGGCGGGCAGCAATGTTTCGCGTTTTCGACTCGATGGAACGAAACAAACACGCAATCGCACTTCTGCTCCATTACGCTCGCACTTTAAAAACCGCGCTTACGAAGATGAAAATCATGTTTTTCTAGGTCAGTGCTGAAAATTCCACTTTTGCATGCGGATGTGACACGCTATGACGCCTCGTACAAATAGCTCACAATGCTAGCGCGCGATTTTAGCTGGCAGATTTGCGGATTTGCATTTAAAACGAATGATAACGAATGCACGACAGTCGGCAGTCAACGCAGTCTGCGAAATAAGTTACAGACGCACTTTGTCCCGGGCTAGAGGACGATATTGCGATCGCCGTAGTTTCTCGACGTTATGCCGTAACATATTTCGGGACAGGCAACAGAGGTTGCAGGTTCTGGAACTTTGCGCTCGCGTCTTCGTCTTGCAGTCTTCCGCTTTCCCCCTTGTTGCCCAACCCATTACCATCCCTTTGCAGCTGGGCTCTGCAACATTGAAATTACTTACTCCCAAGACCCGCGCGGTCCCGTGACGCATGCGTTTACTCGCACCCGGCTAAAATGCAGCCTGCAAAAGCGGTTGTTGCGTCATCAGCCCGCTGCATTTTCGGTGTCGTGTAGAGAGAATGTAAACGTGCGGCAAATAAACAACCGCGGGAAATTTATCACGAGCATTGCAACGTGCGCGATCAATTACATCACGCATAATAATAATTTACCGCAGCCATCTCATCGACAAGATGTAACTGTGAGATAGACGAAAAGCGACTGATGCTATCGAGTAACGTGTTAATGTAATATGGGCGCAAATGTATTATTAATACGCGATCATGGCGTAAAAAGGTGGTAGGGGGTCACTCTCCAAATTTTGACAAGGAAAAACAAATTATGAAAACGCTCATTGACCAATGTGTCGTTCTCATGTTATTGATATGCACGGAAAGAACAATTTTATAAAGTATCTAAAAATTTAACTAATATAGTAGTAATAATAATAATAACTATTGGCTATAAATACAAATCTAAAAGTAATTTTGTTTGCACCATCAAATAATTATGCAGGACACTTGAACTGGACGCTAGAATGTTAAGATTTTTTGCAATGCTATTTTATTAACGTTTAAGCGTTCACATAATTATTTTAATAATTTAACAAAATTATTTTTAGAGCTACACTTAGTTTTTTAGATACTTTAGCAAAATCACTTTTTTGTGTAAAAAATATCGTTAAAAATCCTTGAAGACTGATTATAATATAGTAGTTTAGTGAAGTTAAAATAAAGATAGTTTTGTGTGTATGGTTTAATGAATAAATTAAATATAAGTAAATAAGTTTATATATAAAAGAGCGATCTGTCTGCGGTTGTTAAAGCAATACAAATAACATATTTATAAGGCGATAAGATAAATAAACATAAATAGAAATGAGTATACAGCCACAACGCAAGATGTCATAAGCAAAGTTATATATTTAAAAAAGAGAGACAAAGGAAAACGTTTCGGTCGAGTTTTGACCATCATCAGTACATAAAAAATTAATTATATATAACATAAAATAATAATAATCGCTAGATGTTACAATAATTTCGTGAAAATTCACAATGTATGATCTTTCAAACAGAAGTTAAAAACCGTAAAAATATAAGAATGAAGAAACGTTGAATTTAAAGCCGAAAAATGTAAAATTCAATGTATTTCTATTATATATCGGTGTATAAATTAATTGTGTTACAATACGCATTCGAGATTTGGAATTTCTTCTTATTCTTGTACATTAAATACGGAATTTCCAGATTCCAATTCGACAAGATAAAAATTTCCAAATAATTGTGGAATGCATTTATATTAACAAACTTAACTCCACAAATGTTTCGGACTCTGGATTTGAATCCTCTTCAATGCAGAAGTGAAGAGGACTCAAATACAAAATCGAAACATTCGCAAAGCTGATAAATACATTCCAGTTATTTGCGAATTATATTTTATAAGTATATTATTTACGAACTATAACAATCGCAAAAGCTCTTATAGGCAGTTTACTTTTATTTCATATTATAGTAAGTTTTGCCATTTCCCAGAATTCTGAGTACTCTCAAAAATTATAAACGTATGCATATAATAGATTCACTTAGATTGCATCAGACTATTTGAAAAAATTTATCTAAGAACACTATGTGTCTTCTATTAAATATGCGTTAACATATCTCTCGAGATTTCATGTCAATATTGAATCCTTATTTTTTTACGACACATTTACGCCGGTAATATATAATAAATATATTACATATAACACGGTTTATACTGTATAAATGTATTGTATAAATGTGTTTTACTGAGCTGCTACTCGGTGTAATAAGAACTCCGTCAAGTTGTTAAGTTTTATAGCTATTGGTATGAAATTTTACGAGTCTTCCTCACGCCTTCGCGCCGCCACCCGTTTGTCGAACACGTACGTTGCGTTGCACATCTGGGCGAGGCGGGTGAACAGGAAAAACGTGACTCGCTGTTAAGTAATGTATTATGGCACGCGCAGATGGCATTTCGAATCGACGATATAAGAGGCCACCGTCGATGCCTCTTGAGCCTGCATCCCCGATCACACATGAATCGAGAACCGATGAGCAATACTTCTTCCGTATCGACAAACATCGCTATTTTTGTAACTGCGCGATGAATTGAAGATTCGTCCGATAATTGCAACATGCATATTCCATCCTGAGTCAAGCGTCTCGAGGAAACACAAAAGCGCCATTACCTTGATATTGGAGTAAGCTGAAACTTTCTGTCGTTCTAGATATATTTAAACGTTTGGAACTCGGAAGATTCACAAAAGGCCCTTTGTGCAATAGAGCAAAACTGACGTCTTAAAGAGACTAAATTTGGTATCCGGTGGAGGGGGGGGGGGGCGACTTAGAGATCAGAAAAACAAGTACCAAAGACACAAATCTTCGTCGAATTCGGAATCAGTTTTAGAGAACATAAATTTTGTACGAACAGTGAGAATATCCGAGGAAGAACTATTTTCTCAGACAACCATGATTTAGCGAATTTAGCGAATAAGTAACTTTATTGGAGCAAGAAATTCCGACTCTCAAACTTCTCTTATATGAGGGATGATTCACTATAGACAAAATATCTATATAAATTGCTCCTTTAAGCTTTTCGATAGTGTTTCTGAAAATGAAATAAATGGAATTTCCTTAAACTTATTACGAGAAACGTTTTATGAATTTAAAGAGAATTAAATATAAAACTTTATCCAGCACTAATTAATAAATTAAAGCGAATTTTATGTAAATTCTTTGAGATTTTTCTTATCTTTTTGATATCTTCTTGAAACCTTTAAATTCAATGTATTTATCTTTTTGATATATATATATACGTTCAATCGTGTTTGTATTGAAACATTCTATTCCCAGTGGATCCATGGAAAAAACGCTTATATTAGAACGCTTGACCAACGCTCGGTCAGCTCCAAAGCGATTACGTTTCTCAATAGGAAGCGTCTATTCGGATGGGCAACGATCAAGAACGCGTGTCCTACTGTACTTAATCATTTACAGTTCCTCGTCGAAGAACCGATTCGCCGATTCGTGTAGCCCTTTAAACGCTCTAGAGCTTAATGCACATTCTGACCGGTAAACGGACTGAGCCGAATTATTCGACCGATTGGCAACCGATTGATTCCCACTGTCGAAATAATGGCTGGATTCGATCTCAATGCAGCCACGATTAACTTTAGTCTATTACGCTCAATAAGATAAGAATTTTGCCAAATTGTCTACATTTAGATATCAAACTACAAATCTAGAAGGCTTCACTTTCGGAATTTGCAATATTTTATATATAAATGTTATACACGCTAATATATTAGCGTTAAAGAATTGAGAATGATTATATACATTTTATAAAAATGAAAATATGAAAAATTCTCCACATTGTATTTGAACGTAATACAAAAAACTCGGCGAGAATTTAGAATCTGAATAAAAAAATCATTCATTTAATAAGAAATATAGATATATTTTTAAAATGTTTTTCATCTGGATCACTCGCATTATTTTATATAAGAAATTTTGTATTCCCTGATGTATTAGCATCAAAGAATGAAAAATGTATGCATACAATATTATGCATTTTTTTTAACAAAATAAAAATATGAAAAATTACATATATTTATATATTGTAGATATTTGAAATATTATAAAAAATTCGACGTAAATTTAGAATTTGGAACAAAAATCATTTATTCAATAAGACATAGATATATATTTTTAAAATCTAATTAAGATAAAATAAGAAAATTTTTTACACTATAAAATTATATTATTAAATATAAATTTTTACTGAACAGTTTGTACAACATTTATTTTTGTAAGGAAATTAATTCTCGAATCTCTTGAGATCGTAAATTCGCGATTTTCTTGGTGACGACAATTTCGTTCTGTTCTTATTTTTCAGATATATGTAGATATTGAATATTGCATTTGAGTGTCAGAGTTTGTGAAATAATACTGCTTCTCTCTGCACCGTTTTAT